GGCATTCATGATATCCATGATGGATGGCGCCAAAAGATCCGCATTTTCCTTTAGGAGCCATCCGGGGATACCGTCCGGTCCTTGTGCCTTAACTGGATTAATAGAGCATAACTTTCTAAAGATAGAAAACGCTGATATTGGTGAGAAATCATCATTCATAGTTCTGCTCGAAGACACAAAGTCGTCTCCCCTAAATAGATTGTGGGTAAGCGGTTCAAAAACCTCCCTTGGGGCCAAGAAAGCTGTGTTGATATGGTTTGCAAGGTCAGCTGCTGATAGACCACGAGCACCTTCTAAGTGATGAACGGACTTTAGGACATTATCACGTGACCCCTCCATTCCACTAAGTTTCTTGATTTCGCCCCACCACTTAGCTGGGGAACACCCCTTTAGATGTTGCACTTTACACTCGTAATACTTCGCACGGCATCTTTTACGTTCTCGGTTAACAAGATTTCTCAGATGGTTAAACTCCGCTCGGTCTACTCGGCCTAAGGCCACTTGTCGCTTTCGAATCAAGGTCTTAAGGGTTGAATTTATCCATGGTGGTTGTGTTCGGTGGACAATTTTAGGCTTCATCGCTAAGATAGAATCAGGCCAGTTTTGATGATCGTTTGTAACATCGAAACCTTTCCTTCGCAAGTGGTCATAGCTCTGATCATCGCAGTAACATCGACTTCATATAAATACGTTTGCATTGCAACACGATTACTTGGTCGTAAGTCCCTTAAAATAACAGTTTGTATTGTTTGCGATGTTTTAACCCTTTGCTTTGACTGTACTTCAACTGAGCTATGATCTGAAAGACCAAAAGCGGGACGTTCAACCGGGGTGTCGTAGTAATCCTGAAGGTTGGTAAGAATCTTGTCGAGAGTGTTTTGCCCACGAGTAGAAAAATGCACAATCTGCTTCAAATTGCGGAGACCTAAAAACGCGGTCAAAAACGCATATGAATATATTTTATTCAGACCCATACAAATCTGGCAAGGGAAGAAAGTACAAAAAATGCATTTCCGAGCTCGGAATTTGTCTGACGTATAAGTCGGTGGACTTCCTTTTCCTTGTAATTCGTTTTATGAATTGTTAACTTCAGCGCTGATCACACAAGTATATCGTCAAAATCTGTTACACTTAAAGAGTCTGAGCCAATGATATAAAGAAAGCTATTGATCAGCGTTCTCATTCCTTTGTGTCCGTCAATTTTATGTCAATTTTTTTTTTTTAAAAGCACATCAGTATAAGGTTTTTTAGCCAATGCTTCTCAACCTACGTCTTAAGCAAATGGAAAGACGCTGATTAATATCAACGAGCCCGCAATATGCCATGACTATTGGTCAGAGGATTCTTTAGTGCAACAGCTGTCACTTTAACATCTCAATGTTAGCGCAGTTAAACGACTGCATTATTACATTTAGGACCAACTGTTATTACATTTAGGACTTTATTACATTTAGGACTGTTATTACATTTAGGACTTCAACACCCGTCTTATTAGAATCACTTTTTAAGCTACTTTTTTCTCTGTTTTGTTTTCTTTTGGATGAAAATATTGGTACTTCTTTTTAACATCCTATCAATTATTCTCTTCCGATGCCGCCGAAAGAAGAGAAATAATCATGCAAAGCACCGCTTTTCAGAAAAAAAATGAGTAATAATAAATCATATGAAGATAATGATAAAAATACTCATTCTGTACGCGTATAAGAGAGACAACTATCAAGACATGAGCATTTATCCATACTTTTTATGATTATTGACTAATTGGTACTTCCAGAAGTTTAAACAGTTAAAAATATGAGTTTTCAAGAAATGTTGACGGTTATGAAAGGAAAAAACAAATTCTAACATGGTCCTAAACTTTATTAATACACTTCATAACAAACTACTTGGAACATTGAAAATCCCAGAAAATCAACTTGAACTTGAACAGCTTGAACTTCAAAACAAAAGGAGATGATATTCAATTCTGTTGAATAGTTCGTTACTAGAGCCGTTTTTATCTTACCGACAGTTTGGAAAACTGACGCCCGAACAAGAGAAATGGTTAACAAGAGAACAGAGCTCATTGAGTAAATACATATAAAAACGCTAAAAACTCTTGGAATGTATGCAATTTAAATAAGTACCCTATTTAAAAGTTAATTCGAGCGAGGTGATTCTAAATCAAGATATGACGAAGAAAAAATAAAAAATGCATGGAGCTGATATTGGTGTTGGAATTTTGGAAGTAGTTCCCTCACAAAGCAGAGGGAAACTTGATTGCGAATAATGAGTGTCTAATGTACATCGGAGAAGCCGTCTCAGAAATTTCTGCTCGCTCTAAATGTTTTCGCCTGTCGGTCCTTAGCTTTCCTAAAGGATTTGTCTTCGCTTTCGGTGTTAATAGCGCAATTCCATAAATTTGGCAATTGTAGAGTTGAATTTTTTTTGGAAATCGAGTAATGTTTCCACAACTTTTTTGTTCGCATACATTATTAAAACGGGAAATGAAAATAAACATATTCCGTATCTCATTAAAGTTATTAGGTTAAATCTGACGGGTGCTAAGATATCGACTTACTGCCATTTAACATGTAATCCGTCGTAGAAACAGTCGCTTTGACTCGCTAAAAACACTGATAAGTGCTTAAAGTGTTTAACTCAGACTTTGTGTTTTACTTGGAACATAAATATAGAAGCCTGACATCAAGGAGTGAGAATGGAGAGTTCTGTTTTGCTCGTTTTCGTGAGTTGGACTGCGCTGTTGATCCATTTGACGTATGGCGAAGGTGAGGAACAAACTTGACTCAATTTTTTTTCCAGTGTATTTATCTGTAGTTGATACTCAATTTTCGAAGCAATCGGTCTACAAAATTGCGAGTATATAAACGAGTTGATGGAGTTCATTATGAGTTATCCAGAAAAATTTCGAATCCCGAATAAATTCACTTTATTCGATTTGTTAATGACGGAATGTTTTCAGGCCCGTTTTTTGTTTTTAAGTGAAATTTGTCATTTCCCATTCAAAAAAAATTTAAAAACAAGAAACAAAACAAACCTGACAAGTTAGGATTAGTAACAAAGGCAACTTAAGATTAACTTCATGACGGTCAACTATATTTATTTTGTCACGATCACCATTGAAGACCTCGCATGATAATGTCGTAAATTTCATTGTAGTTTGAAACACTGAATCTTGATGGATTTGTTCATTAAGTCACGCATAGACACAGATTTGTTGCCTCTCTTTAACGAAATCGATAACTGTTTTTGCATAAGACACCGGGCTAATGGCGGAATTTAGTCGTAGATAGAATTTACAGCATCATACATTTGTTAAGCTGGAACAAAGGATATATCCATCACGAGATGTTGATCAGCTAAAATTTCTGATTAAGGGGAAGTTCTTGAGTCAAAAACTTTAAGAATACGTTTTGAAGGGAGTACCTTAAAATTTAATAAATAACCCTAATTGTAAATTTTCCCGGCTTCGATCAATATAAACTTTCTTTACTCTATTTATGAAACTGCAACGTCACGCGCGTCGAGATCTGCCATTCATTCAAAAGACTTATGTGTGAGAAGCCGTAACTTTTTTCTTTAATCTTCTCAATGCTCCAATAACAAATTTTCAACAAAAGAAAAAGGATGAATTACCGATTTAATTTGTTCATCAATTCACCCAAAGGAAACAGTGACATTTAAAGGGTGGTATTAAGGTTATCAATATGTAGTTGCCATTATGGGCTAAAAATTGATAATTTGACAATTGCTTATATGATAGTAATGCGAAATTTGATGTACTTTTAATATTGCTTTTGCTTATAACAATGGAAATAAGAATATTCTATCCTCATGTCATGTCAAAAACATCTTAACCCGAAGATCAATCTACTACGTGAAGCATGACAACAATGGCTGTTTGCAATGCAAATCCACATCAATTTCCTCTTTCTCATGACAATCCGTCGAGGAAACCTTTGCAGGCACATTTATTCCTCTCAAAACTCTCAATATTGATGAAAAAAAAAGGTATGCTTGAAGAGAATTAATGGTATACTTTTCGTGACGGCTTTCGACCTAGCTTCTTCTCATCATAAAGTATTCCAAAATTGAAGAAGTAACTAAAGATGCTTGTGAAGCAGTAGCAGGTGATAGACCAACGTACGATTTGTCGCCATGACTAGGATCTACTGATTTTCTATTCGTGCCATTATCCTCTATCACGGGTTACATATCACTTTTTTAGATCATCGCTCTCGCAAAATTACATCGGAAAGGATTTTCAAAGGTTTGCAATGTTTCCAAAGGGTCTTCCAGTTGTTTCCAATGTGTTATCATTAGGGAGTTTAGGCTACCGTGACGGCGAAATTAAAAAGGGAAATTAAATGCAATTATCTTGAATAATTTCCTCAGCTGAAAAAGAGAAGGCATGCTCGGTGCCTCTTCTTTGCCTAATGCATATGTATGCAAATTAAGGTCATGCTCTTGCATTACAATAAAATGACTGCGAAATTAAGAATCTTAAGGCAAACTTGCCCATTTCATGTAAACCTGTTGTTTTATCATTGCCTTTTTATGGTAACTTTCTTCCCTTCAACTGTTTATTTCAGAACGTCATCGCACTCTGCTGTTTCCCGATAACTTCTTTTTTGCTGAAAGACGGTTTGTAAACCACACTATCGATACAAAAAAAGTTAAGGACTTGGATCACTGTGAGCTTTTCTGCTACATGAATGACAAATGCGTTAGTGCTAACTTCAAAAAAGAGCCAGAGGCTGGAGGAATGGCTCATGTTTGCGAATTGAATAACGCAACTCATCTGGATTATGATACTGACCTGATAACTGATGTCAATTTTTATCATCGCGGCTCTAAGGTGAGATATGACTAAAATTTACTTTCTTGAATTGACGCATTATATTCGATAAAATTATACGCGATCACCAACGTGTTCAGAAACTTTTATCCCTTTATTCACTTATCGTAGATCTTTCTCCTGCTGTTTCACTTTCTCTTTTCTACCTTTTCAGAACGCCTGCGGTAAGAATTCACGTTGCCAAAATAATGCAATTTGTGAGTCCGGTTTCACATTCAAGGGATATCGATGCTTGTGCCCTCCTGGATTCGAGGGAGAAAATTGTGAAAAAGGTTAGTTTCAAAAGATGCGAGAAATAGAAAAATATTGCCTTGAATATGTTGAATTTTAGAGACATTTGGTCGTCGAGTGAGTATCTTACTCCCAGGCTGGCCTTTCACGACTGGTAGCAAAGAAACGTAATGGCTTTTGGTGAGTGATCTAAACCTAGACGTAACAATGGCAAAAAAATTTAGGGGCCTTCTTTTCGAACCAAAGGAGTGGACAAAGGAAGCGCTCCCTGAAACTTGTAAATTGAACAATGTTGCACGGTTGAGTAATATTGTCGAAACTGAAATGTCAGTTTAAAATGGTACGAGCTGTTATACTAGTATTGCCTGGTTAGTGGTCATCCGTATAGTTTTGGTTTTTTAAATAAGAAAATAATTACAATCTATCTCATAAAATGAGAAATTACAAACATTAATGCACTTGTGTCTATACGACATTTCTCCTGTCAATTATTAAGATTTCAATTAAAATACACTTCTGTATTCTTATTCCTAATTTTTGATGCTATCTTTCGGTTTGGAAATAGATCACCTGCATATGCATGTGTTTAGAACACATTTTAGGAACTGACTCCTAGTTTTACTTTTTAATAAAACATTACGGGGCACGTTGACACCCGCAAAGGCGAGCATCGGCAAAAATCAATCTCCGAATTATTTGTGAAATATTTTGTTAACTATTTGATGTAAAAGATAATGAGACTGGCATATTACCAATGCCTTGCTGTTGTTTCTAGATGTTGACGAGTGTGCTTCAAATGACAA